CAGATTGAAAAATGTTGAATTTACTTTCATCGGAAAAGATGACATTGTTCCAAAAGTCCATCGGCTTACTCAAATATTCGTTTGCATAGGCTAAGCGCTTTTTCTGGTTGACTTTTGAAATAAGTGGTTTTCTTCTAGCAACGCGGCACTTGTATTTAGCTTTGTGCAGTGTCCTCCGAACCGTAATCGGGTGAATATCTTTTCCAAATTCATTTTTAACCTGAGCTGCAATCTGTGTTGAAGAGATTTTTGGGTTCACCTTCACCTTCCTGATGATCTCGGTGCGTTCCCGGTCGGTCAAAGCCCTGGGTCGACCAGTGCGCTTAGCACTCTCCAATGTTAAGGCTCCTTTAAAACGCTGGACAATGCTCCGAATGGTAAACCGGGTTCTATGCATAATTTCTCCAATCTCAGCATATGATTTGCCTTGATTATGCAAATACAAAATTATTTTCCGCTGAGATTCATTGGTTTCCTTTTGTTTGCCGCTCATTTTGTTAAAATCTTAGAGATTTTGCTTATAAAAAAAGGTACTGCGTGGTTTTTAACTCAAACATTTACAACTATGTCATTCCAAATATAAACATAACGGGGTTTTGAAAAAAATTTTTGCCATATTGTTGAAATTTTGAAAATATAGTTCACTATTACCCAAGTGTGCCAATAATTTTGTTCAGGCGAAAACGGCTGTTTTTTTATATTTTTAATTTTCTTAAATTAATGGAAAAATATAAATGAATGAAATAAAGTAATTTTAGTAGGAAATTGATCAATGTATATGAATAAAATTTGTTTTATTTAAATATCACCATATTTCATGGAGAAACACTGTGCGAAAGTCAGACGTGCCAACTGTGCCAATAATTTTGTTCGTCACTGTACATATATTCTGAATCAGCATGACGAGAGAAATCGATCTGGACATGTCCATCCGTCCATCTGTCCGTCCGTCTGTCCGTCCATCTGTCTGTCCGTCCGTCTGTTCGTCCATCTGTCTGTCCGTCCGTCTGGATGAACGCAAGGATCTCAGAAACTATAAAAACTAGAATAACCAAAGTTGGTATCCAGTTTCTCCTAGGTCCGAGAAAGGACGAGTTTATTTTATTTTTTTCCCTCGCTACAGAATTTCGTCAATACCGTCCACATTTCAAAAGCTACCCTAACCAAACTTTGCACACATAATTTCTATACATAGTACTTATCTACTATTGTTTCAAATCGTCCATCTATCCGTCCGTCTGTCTGAATGAACGCCTGGATTTCGGAAACGGCTGACCGTATATTAACCAAACTTGGTATGCAGACGCTCCTAGTCCCTAGTCCATACAAGTTTATTTAATTTTTTTGATTTTCCCTCCCCTGTCCACGCTACAGAATTTGTTAAAAATGTCATTGAAACTGGTCAATTCTAAGAAATGTGATTAGCGAAACAAATTCTCTCCAGTACAACCACACCAAACTGCAGCAACAAGTTCGCTCTTCTTCTTCCTCTTTTTGCTTCTGCTAGGGGCGTATATAACTCAGTGTCGGAAGTTTGTCTGGGTACAGGGTACTTCAATGTCGGGCTTGCTCGACTTAAGCGTTCTCTCTTTTTTTAGACTAGAATACCTATACATTGTTATTATAAATATCATGTTATTTATATATTTTGTTCTGTGATCAAATAGTCAAAAGTTTCCACGATAATTGGATGTTTCTTTTACTAACGAGACTAATCAGATTCCTTGGTACATCTCTATAGAAACGAACGGCTATTTGTCTATTTTAATCTTTTTTATAACTTGATGCAATTGGAACTATAAAGCAGGCACGTTCGGAAACTACAGTTCATAGTATGTATGAATCTGTATCAGTATCCATTATTGTAATTAAAAATACCATATACTCGAACTATTTATACTATATTTGCCGATATACCCGTAATACCCTTATAAGAATGAATGAAATCACCACGCATGGTGCAATCCAAATATTAACTTTATTGTTTTTTTCTAAATATTTATAATATGTTAAGCTGAATGAAAACATTAGCACTGAATTTTACTGAATCCTCCGAAGGATAGACAGAGATCCATTTGCCTGAATTTTTAAGTTTTATTTTAAAACTTTTTTTTAACTATGAATTGGTTTCGGATTACATATTATTTGATAACAAATTTAAAAAAAAAATACTAAAGTATTATCTGAACATATACTTATTACGTTAAAAGGTAAACCAGTTGTCTGGGGCCTGGCCAGTCTGATTTGGTGCGTTCAGGCCGATTGGTGTGCCGGCTTATCTGGAGCTCAACTGTCTCGAGATTTAGGTCATGATCTAAATCTGGATCCCGTATCTCCAAGTGGGGGTATTACCATATTATATAGTAAACATGCCTCTTGCCCAACCTGCAATTGAGCCTGGCCACTTTCGTCCTGCATTTAGTTAGAGTGGCAAGGATGAGCGGCTCAGAGGTGAGCTAGGACCACACCTAGAAATATAGCCTCGTCAGCTGTGTATATACAGAGTTTGGTCGTTTAGCCACTTGCAGGCACCTCACCTATTCTCAGCGGAAAACATACGTTTGCGCACTTGGCTGGGATATTTCCACTTTCTTGCCCAAGATAAAGGCGCAGCAGGGAGTTTTAAAACAGAAATAAAAATAAAATTCGACTTTTGCTTAAAACGATTTTGTATTAAAATTGAACATTTTTTTATCTGAGTGTAAGCTTATAAACTATTAATGTAGTCGTAAATTACAACTGGAATGAGTTGCAATTTTTTGGCCCGAAACTGATGCCATAATTGCACAGAGCTCTTACATATGGCCGAGCTCTAATGACCCCTCGAGTCGTGCAACGCGTGTACATGTGTCTAATTCCCATGCAACGATGCGTTATGTTCGTTCCCGTTCCCGTACCCGTATCCTTGAGTAATTATATCGCATTCGCATTGTGCATTGCCTTGTCATAGAAATTTAATTTCGCACACAATTTCGATGTCTGACTATGCAAATACTACTGTGATTCAAATAAACCAATCGATGCCCAACCGCAAACGTAAATGCTACGTTTTTTGCGTTTTCCACCTGCACAATGACCTCTAGGGCTTCCAGGGAGCCACGTCTGTGACGTGATGTTTATACTCTGAACATGAAATATACAAGAGTATATTAGGCTCGCGCTAGCCGTACACATACTTATAAGGCATCTTATTGCAGAATTCGTGTCTCCATCACTTATAGTCTCTGAGATCCAAGTGTTCATACGGACTGCGTATTTCAAAATCGGGACACCGCACTTTAGCTTCTCTACTTGTTTTTACTCTGTACATGAAATGTAATAGCGCTGTCTGTCAGTCCGTCCGTCTGTCCGTCTGAACACCTGGATCTCAGAAACTATAAGAGATAGAGACATTGAATTCTGCACTAAGATACGTTATGTGTGTACACTTTGCCAGTTTGTTTTATTTTTTAAATTCTTGTAATTTTTTCATTTCTATAAATATTTGACGCATATTTAGGGAGTATTTCATAGTCGAGACACCCGACTTTAGCTTTCCCACTTGTTTTTGTTATACCCTGCACCCGTAGGGTAAAAAGTGTATATTAGGTCTGTGCAAAGTATGTAACAGGCAGAAAGAAGCATCTCCCACCCCATAAAATGTATGTATTCTGAATCAGCATGACGAAAGAAATCGGTCCATACATGTCCATCCGTCCGTCTGTCCGTCCATCTGTCCGCCCGTCTGTCCGTCTGGATGAACGCCTGGTTTCGGCTGACCGTATATTAACCAAACTTGGTATGCAAATGCTCCTAGTCCCTAATCTATACGAGTTAATTTATTTATTTGATTTTCCATCTCATTTCCCCACTACAGAATTTAGCCAATACTGTTCACATTTTGAAACCTACATAAACCAAACTTTGCACACATAATTGATCTACTTTTGTTTTAAATGTTATCCAAATGGTCAATTCTAAGAAAAGTTATTAGCGGAACAGTTTCACTCCAGTACTACGGCCACAAGCTGCAGCATCATGTTCGCTCTTCTTCTTCTCATATAACTCAGTGATGGAAGTTTGTCTGGGTACAGGGTATTTCACTGTCGGGCTTGCTCGACTTTAGCGTTCTCTCTTGTTTTCTTGTTGTTGTTGTTCCTTTTTGTTTTATTTCATTTCATCGGTGAAGCGTACGACCGATTGAAAATTTAATTTCCCGCCCATGGTGTTGCACAGGCCCACGTCCAGGTCCACATCCAGGTCCAGGTTAGTCTCGTTTTGTTTGGTTTGGCAAAGTACAGTAAAGTTCTGGCCAGCTCAGCTCGGTCGACTGGCTTGGTCAAAGTATTTCCGCCATTCCGCCACACCGTTTTCGGTTCCGATTCATTTTGCACTACACTTCAGTGCTCAGCCGGCGCTTTGATTTGTTTTCTGGCTCTGTGTGACTAGATGCCAGTCTGTATGTTTGTCTGTCTATCTATCTGTCCCTCTGTCTTTCTGTCTATCCGCCTATTTGTATGTGTGCTCTATGCGCTTTCGTTTTTCACCTTCTTTATTACTTTTAATTTGCAATAATCCAAATCACCATGACTACCTAAGCTGACTCTCTGGGTATCCGAGTGCTCGACTTCTCGGTCACCTGCAGGCCAGATGGCCCTCCTCTCTGAGGACTGACTTCAAGCTATATTTCCTGTTTCAATTTTCTGATTTATTTATTGCCACACCGTCTGTAATAGCGGCTACTCTGAGCGCTAGTGACAACAATAACAGCCACCATCAACGACAGCCCGCACAACAACAACAAGAACTGAGGGAAAGGCAGGACAAAACATGACAAACTCAACGCTCGGCCGATTTCCGGTCGACTGCTGTTGGCTGTTGCTTCATCATTTTGGCTGTCCGCCCAAATAATCCATATTTCCATAAATTGCGTTTTTTATAAGGATATGTGTTTGGAGGAGTGTGCGCGTGCTTACATAACTTCTTCTGATGTTCCTCTCTGGCTATCTGTCTGTTTGCAGGTCTCTCTAAGCGGCCTCTAGGTCCGCCGCATCGTAAAAGCAGTCTACCAAAGCATCAGGAGGTGAAGCGACGCTTCCTGGAAATTTGTGATACCACCTTTTCCGACGAGGTGAAAGCGGCGCTGCGTTTGCCCGCGTTCGATTCCTACGAGTGGAGCGATGCCGACGTTATACACCTAATGCAAACGATGTTCATCGAATTGGGTTTCATTGAGAAGTTTAACATACCGGTAGATACGTTGCGCGAGTGGCTCTACGAGGTTTACAAGCACTACAATGAGGTTCCGTTTCATAATTTCCGACATTGCTTTTGCGTGGCACAAATGGTAAGTCTATCACTTAAATTGCACCTCATCTTTCCTCGGTTCAATGGGGACACTTACAATTATACTTAATCGTACTTCGTCTACTCGTTAGATATTTTAATTGCTAAGCAAATACAGATAGTACCATATCACCTTACAAATAACTTACCTATTCACCCATTTACTAGATTTAGGGCTACAGGCATTTTTCAAACCTATTAATGTGATGATTCATCTTAAATATATGAAAATTACATTTTATAATTAAATTGAGGACGTTTTAATTTAGTTTTGATTGAGCTTATTTACATGAACTTTCCACTTGCAGAGGAATAAGATAGGAGTACGAGTATACAACCAGCAGGGCAATCCATGTAGTGGGGAAAGCGCCAGCACCCGAACTAAGCCCCCACACCTGCTTAAGTCTATTTCGAAATGGTCGACATATCAATTGAAACACACTTTTCATTTTTTTTTCTAATTTAAATTTGAAAGTTTAAGTGATATTTAGCAGAATTGCCTTATCTTAAATTGAATTGATAACTGAGCCCGTACTACCTACTGTAAATAGAACTGTATAGAAAATATGTTGTTTAACAAATTTACTTAAAAAAAAGGACTACTTAAAAAGTTTGGTTTTCCTATTTTCCAAGTATATACACAAGCCCAGTAGCCAATGCCATTACGCACAGGATAACCAGTAATCTCAAAATCACAATGACAAATAGAGCATAAATTGCAAATACTACTGCTAATCTGATGAAAAGGCCATTGTTGCAACTAACAAATATCGATTACGACTGATGTTTATGTGCAGAAAGAGATGACACAATGAATCACAGCCGGCGCCATTATTCGGGATCAGTGTCACATTTTAAATTATGAACACTATTATAGGCTAACAAAAAATTGACAAAATGCCAAGAACGCTCGTCTAAATAAATATTCCATACACGAGGGCAGTCCGCAATGTTTCTTGCCTGACTATTTTTGTTTTCAACATAGTCTCTTTCTAAGTCAACACGTTCCCCAGCGATGCTGCCGCCTCTTCACCCCTTCCAAATGGTTGCTCCTCAAAATGGTTTCTTACACAGCCTCCTCATTTGATAAAAATGTCCGTCCCACAAGAGCAACTTTGAGTTTAGGCAATAAAAAGAACTCCATTGGGGCTAGGTCTGTCCGTAATTTTCAAACAATCTAGTTGGACTTTTTAGTTCTAGATAATTATGGTACAGAGGTAATAACTTTACAAAAACTTTACAAATATCTTGCAATCGCTATAGAACAATACAGAGTCCATGCATTCATACATATAGTTCATATAATGTGTGTAAGTTAAATGAAATAATGTCCCCGCTCTTTGTGTCCTTTTGTGTTTTTATAATGCTTTGAACACATCTTTTGGCTAGGTTTAAAATTGTTTAAAGTTAATTCGAAGGGGGTGCATTTTTTTATTGTGTTGTATGTATGTATGTGCAGTGTGCGGTCACGTTCCTGATAATCGCGCACGTATAAACTGTTTTGGAAAGGTTATGATACCAAATTGAGATAAATCCGACAACTGGTAAATACAATTTACAATATAAAGTGCAATTTTTTAAGGAAATGCCCTTGAATATGCAGGCAAATGACAATCCTACAAATAACTTAAAAATCCTGCAACAATATGCAATAATCGTTTCAAATGAATGTCAAATAGCTAACCAAATGAGTATGAAGATCTTGATGAATTTATAATTAATAATAATATAATTCGTCAACTCTCACACTAAAAATAAACGTACGCATTCAGTTCCAAAACGATCCACTAAAGTTGAATTTTCAAACCAAAAGATAATACTATCAAACGATTTTATCCATTTCACTTAATCAGTGAGCAATACCGGTCAAAAAGAAGAAAGATGTTATTGATTTTAACGAGGCTATTTCAAAAGAAGTACCAAGTCGATTATTCACATTCCAGGCAATGGATACAATTATGAATCACAATGAGCTGGTTACTTATCCCACAGAAGTTTTATATGCACTCTATTTGCCTGGAATACTACGTATTACTGCTAAAAATTGGAGATCCGATTTATATGGTCCGCAATATTTACCAACCAAAACTTTGTAATGGTACCAGACCAAAAATATTGGAAAATATGATAGAAAAAACAATTTTGAATAGATAATTTAATGGCGAAGAAGTTTTGTTTTTGATTCCACGCATCCCTATGAATACATCCCATATTCCCAGGTTGGCGCGCACTCACCATTACCAGCAATAAGGTGCAAAGACACTATTTAGATGAGTTTGAAAAATCCAGTTTTCTCACATGCTCCGGAGGCCGAAAACTATTTGCACCATTCAATTCCCTGTTTTCAAAGATTATTGAATCCAAAAATGTTTACCTAAGAGCTTTGGAATAAATATTTAAATTGTATTTAAGTTATTCGAAAACCTTTTTTTCTGGCTGTCCACGCGAGAGCTTTATACGAGTATGTAAGAAACAATTTCCCGGAAAAACGCCTGGCATGTTCTGGCTTAGTGGCAAAGTGAGAATGCCCGCCTTTGGACCTCCGGTAGAACCATTGCTTAGATTAGGTTAGTAACGAGATATACAACAAATAATGAGATAAATGTAAATCTACCAGAATTGATATTAAAATATTTAATTATGCATAGACTTTGTTATGGGCTTTTTAATATTATAGGATTCTGAACATAAAAGAGTTGAAAAACATTGTGATGCAAAGATTCTGCCAGACTGCAACTGATAAAATTTTTGATATTAAATTGACTACAAAGGACCCTTCCCAAAGTAAAAAATTGAACGCAATAACCCGCGATTACATTATGGTCAACATTTTTAAAATCTGTATCCAAATTCTGCAAGTGTTTTCAGTGCAGCGAATCAAAATCTGAAAATAAGCTGTAGTAATAGTGGAGTGTGCTGCCACAATGTGCCACTACATGGACAGCCGTCCATGGTGATAATTCAGATTGCCTCAGACAGCTTGACTGGCAGAGGGAAATCGATATTAACATACAAGTATATGTATGTACTATATGTCATGATTTATGCATATACATAAACATCATATGATAATGAAGGCAAATGTGTACGAGTATGTGTGCATAAGAGCTGAAAACAATGGCGGCGAATACGTGCGCCTAGTTGTATGCAACATAAAAATAAACTTTGCTTGAATACCACGCCAAAGCCCAACTAACTGCCAAAGATACATACAAACATAGCAATATATATATGCTACATACATATATACACTGAGCAATAAAGTCGATTCAAAAAGATTGAATAGACTACAAAATCCGCTTTTTCTGAACACCAACAACATTAATAGACAAGAATAAAACGACGGCAATTGGATTGATTAACGCCACAATAATCTTTTTGAAATCAACTTTTTTAAAGCTAATTTTCTAATTGTTTTTGCTATTCCTATATGTAAATATTTAGTTTACCTTTTTTTATTGAATTTCCTCATGATTTTCATTAAATACTACGTCGATATAGTCCAGCATGTATAACTTAGAGCGCCAACTGTTGATAACCTGTGGTATGTGATTGATTAACGCCACAATAATCTTTTTGAAATCAACCTTTTTAAAGCTAATTTTCAAATTGTTTTTGCTATTCCTATATGTAAATATTTAGTTGACCTTTTTTTATTGAATTTCCTCATGATTTTCATTAAATACTACCTCGATATAGTCCAGCATGTATAACTTAGAGCGCCAACTGTTGATAACCTGTGGTATGTGTTCAAGAACGTCGTTCTTGTTTTCAAAACGAAAATGTGAGAACAAAATGGTGTGCAAATAAGTCCACAGGAGCTTTGTTTGCCGCTTTTTTTCTGGGTGTACGAACGTACTTGTGTGTATGCACCGTCAAGGGCCTATTTTTTGTTGCCAAGACGCAAGACAAAAGAAAAGAAAGCGCTGCAAGAATACACAAATATACACACATACATAGGAATGTATGAGTGTATATTAAAAACTGAGCCTTTTAAAAATAGCAACAGAAACACTCAGAAATGCAGAGGCAAAGGGCAAGAAGACAGTGCAAAATCTTGCCTAAAGGTAATGAAAATCAGAAACAACAGCAACAGCCGCAGCAGCAGCTGAAACAAAAACAAGATAGTGCTGAGGAGCAAGGAGCATCATCAACAGAAAGTGTTCCACGGATGAAGCGTAGATAGGAACATCTCAACTCTTCCAATGTCCTTCTCTTTCGCTCTCCTTCCATCTCTTAAGTGACTTGCTTAACTTGGACTTGGCTCAAGTGGCAACGAAACATTTGTCCAGCTTACATAGATTTTTAACATACATTTACATTTAGGGCAAATGAAAGTTGCTGGCAACCGCCGGCTGCCGCCCATAACCGCCTTCTGACCAACTTCGGACCACCCCCATCCCACTTTTATGAAATATTTAGCTTGGCTTACCTATGCAAATGACTAAGAGACTGACTAAAATGAGCAACTCATAGAACACGATGGTCGTAGACATTGCAAAGAAGTATACTTTTATAATTATTGTGCTTGACAACACAAGCCTTGCATATATGTAAGCAGTAAGTCCTGCCCCCTCCAGTCCTCTATCCATTCGCCATGGCATTGCTTTGTTGCTAACGATAAATACATACAGATATTAACCTAAGACCACAATTTACGCGAAACAAAACACTATACACATAATCACACACACGCGTGCCCTAACCATTTATTCTTAAAATAACAGCCATGGCGCCGCAGATTATATCTCTTAGCAAATATAATTTCCTGTTTGAAAGCAAACTATACCCGCCTCACTTAGGTATATGCACGTACATATATGAAATAGCATTCTGATCTGACTTAATCATAACAATAATCTGCTTTGTATATTTTCATACACATATCCCTACAAGTATTATATGTTCCATAATGTATTTTGTTTGCTTTCTCAAATAATTTAAATCTATTCTGGTTTTGATTTACACTGTCTTCCGATTTCCGGATACACAGTTACGCCTTCAGATGTATTACCAGAAAAAACATATTGAGTTCAAGTTATCCTTAGAACTATCTCGGAAAGGGTACTTAAGACAATTGTCCTTGTGTGTGGAGGAGCAGTAGTTCGTCTTATAGATTTTCTAGGGCGAACTTATCTCTCATTACAACCTTCCGTCTGTCTGTTACATAATTTGCACAAAGCTAATATACCCTTATTACCCTTCGGGTACAGTGTATAACAAGTAAAGAAGCTAAATAATAAACTTTCTCAGACCTCGGAGAATCTGAATACCAAGTTTGGTTGCGTTCCTTGCGTTCATCCGATTCGTCTCATCATGCTGATAAAGAATATATATACTTTATGGAGTCGGAGATGCTTCCTTCTGCCTGTTACATATAGTACTTTACACAAACCTAATGTACCCTTTTTACCCTACGGGTACAAGGTATAAAAATAACTGAAAAGTAATAGGTTGATGAGTTTAAATACTCCACGTAAGCTAGTATACCCTTTTCACCCTTTTGATACAGAGTATAAATGTCTCGAATGCCCAAAGTCTTCGGTTTAATTATAATCTGCTGCCACACACGTTATAAAATTAATGTGCTATTGTACTCTTTACTGTCAGCAATCATAAATTATAGTGTATACATTCATTACAAGTATGAATGGTTTTTCCACACCTGGTCCTTGCGCTTACGTATACAATTATATGAAATACTAGATGTATGGAAACGTTCGGTCTTGGTCTTTTACTAAGTTAAGGGAATAGTTTTTTATAGCCTGTACCCAAAGGGTGAAAGGGTATACTAGTTTTGTGCGCATGTATGTAACACACAGAAGGAGGCGTGGCAGACCCCACAAAGTATATATATTCTTGATCAGGATGAGAAGACGAGTCGATATAGCCATGTCCGTCTGTCCGTCTGACCGTCTGTCTGTATGAGCGCAAGGATCTCAGTAAGTACAAGAGCTAGGATAACCAAAATTGGTATCAAGGTTCCTATAAGCCCTAGGCAGAACGAGTTTGTTTATTTTTTCTGATACACCCCCCCACTCCCCCGCAATTCGTATTTTTTCTTATAACTTCCGTAATTCTCGGAATTTTAAAATCAATTTTGGTAGGTACATCCAGTTAGTACTAATGTGTCCGTGTGCCAAATTTCATGATAGGTCAATTCTGAAGAAAGTTATAGCTCATGCGCTGCCTGCAGCTCTGTCGACAGCGCTGCCCGCAGCTGTTGTTGTTGTTGCTGCTTTTGTTCAACTTTTTGCTGCATACATACACGCATATAAACACGCATAGGTACGTGATGTAAATGTATGCTGTTTAAACTGAACATAAACATGTATTCTAATTCAATTTAATTAATTATTTTAATTAATTAATTTATTCATTTTTTTAATAATTTAATTTTTTTTAATTTTTTTTTTTAATTTTTTTTTTTTTAATTTTTTTTTTGTGGAGAGTACAGGCTATTTTACTGTCGGGCTTGCTCGACTGTAGCGTTCTCTCTTGTTTTATGTATATTTTTTAAGTACACTTATCTAATTACCTTGCGTAGAAATTATTGAGCGTTTCGGTATTAGAAAATGGGGTAGTCATTTGAGCATAAGATCTATCAAATAAATAAGTGGACTTAACATTTGAACTATTTAAGATACTCACGCCTCTTACAAATGATATCGTCCTCATTAAAGCCACCTCTTGTTAACTACCCTTTGACTAATCTTGAGCGGGATGGCCACAATTCATTGCATTTTCTGTCATTACCAAAGTGCAGTTGTTGCTGATTTCCTTGGGGGTGCTGCCTCGAGCAGTGGGTTGAAACTTTTGCCGCTCGATGCAGCGGCAAAGGATGGAACTTGTCCGCCTGTCTGTTTGTTGACAATGAATTTAGATAAACTTGCGAAATTCGAAATGCAAACGGCATTTGCATAAATTTATCGCCTGCCCCTAAGATTTCGTTTTCGCACTCAACCCTTCGTCTCGACCCTCGTGGTGTAGCAACTTCGACTTTCCCCTCTCACATCGGCACGTCAATAAAACTTTGCTGCGCAGCAAAGCGCAAAGCAAACTTTACGCTGCTTTTGTATTTCAAAAAGCTTAAATTGAACTCTGCTGAAATTTCTTAAGGGGATCGGGCAAGGCAAAGTCATTTTAATTTACAATGATGTCTTTGCCAACGGCTGGGAACGGTTTAAAGATGGGGTGGCTAGTTGTCTAGGAGAAGTCCACGGGATGCTATGTTGTTTCTTTTTGAGTATTCTAATTAAGAAAATTCCACACCTAATAATAAGCATACGTTTCAAACCAGTGCTGCAAGTACTATAAGTTTTAAGAGATTACTTTGAAACAATTTATTTTAAGAAAAAAAAGGTATTCTTGAAAATTATAACATATTTAAGCCGCATTTTCAAATCTTCTATACTTTTTTAAAACTGAATATACATTATTTGTATGCCCTATATATTAGGTTGGTAAAAAGTATTCCCCTTTTTCTTCAACAGATGTATGCCATCACACGTCAAGCGAATCTGTTAAGTCGGCTTGGCGACTTGGAATGTCTCATACTGCTGGTATCCTGCATATGTCACGACCTTGACCACCCAGGCTACAATAACATCTATCAAATAAATGCACGTACTGAATTGGCGCTCAGGTAAGTCGATTTTGCTGCAGCCATAGTCCTGCCGAGTGTATTTGATCATAATACTTGTATGTGGCAATATTTATATACCCTTCACTGAAAAGTGTAAGAGTATATTCTTGTAACACCCAGAAGAAAGAATGGTAGACAGCAGTTATAGGTACATATAGTATGTATATGATCAGCATCAAAACGCAAGATCCGTCTCTCTGTTTCACACTGATTTCTAAAGAAATGATTTCTACGGACAAAGTATTCCTACTACTACTGTAGTCACTGCCCATGACCACTAAGGAATATAGTTGTTATTGTTCTAGGCCAAGTCTGTAATGTCTGCATACGCTCTGTTTACTAACCAATTTCGGGATGACTAGTACATGAATACCGCGCAGCGCCGGAAGAATTAGAACTGATTTGTAATAGGTCTTTAATAAAATTTGCCAAATGAAGCGTATAAATAAGCTGTTTACTAGTTAGTACTCCAAACACACTCCAAACTATTATATACTCTTGTCAACTAACTTATTGTCGCATTTTTCACAGATACAATGACATCTCGCCTCTAGAAAACCATCACTGTTCAATAGCATTCCGTTTGCTGGAGCATCCAGAGTGTAATATATTCAAGAACTTTAGCCGAGACACTTTCAAGTAAGTAATCAGATTTGCCGCATTGCCGCAATTCCATTTTAAAATACGAGTATATGCATATAGTACATATGTACATATGTACATGTATGTATAGTATGTAGTATAGTATACGAGCTGCTTGGGGTTCCCTCCCTTAAACGGTCCTACAACTGTTGCAACAATAATGGCACCACTGGCCACTGCACTTAAATCTTATTTAGGTCAAATGGCAAGCCTGACAGCCCAACCCATTTAATTGCTAACATTGCTGGCTACTTTATGCGCGACACGTACAAAATGGCGTTGCATTAAACGTCAGCCATTTGGCGGGGTAATTAACAGCTACCACCTGCTGACCTCCCAATGCTTTAGGCCCCACTCCACGTCCTTAGCCAGACTCAGCTGGCTGTTCGGTATATCGATTTGGCATTTACCAACTTTAAAATGAGCGCGAAGCCGCGACGCCCCAACAATGTGCGCCTGGCCGGCCAATCGGTGAGTGCGCACCCGTTCCCAACTATGCAAAAATGTGCGGAGCACAACAATGAAGCGGAGTAGGAGAGAAAAGTAAAAAACAAGAGAGCGGGTGTAGGTGCCACAGGGTGTTGCCGACGCTGAAGTTTCAATTTTCTAGGCACGTGCTTCCTGTGCTCGTGAACTGCATTGATTGCTGCGTTCTTTGTCAGCTGTGCTTGACCAAGTGCCAAGTGATTGCGGGCCGGTTGACAAAAACAGCCCGCGGATTGGGGCAATACAAAGCGCAATTGCAGTGGAATCATTCCCCATCTATAAATACAAGTAGATTGAATGACTTGAATTTGTGCAATCATTTCTAAGTAATATACATACATATACTTGTATGTAAATCTACCAGATCTACAAGTAACTGCAGCTCTATGAAATATTTGGACAATACCTGCCTGCTTTGAGCGCCACTACTGAGGCAAACACCACAGGCATACACATGCTTACTCGGACATTAATGTGTATATAGTACACACACAACTACAACTGTATACATACTTGTATTTATGTATCGATGCATATAAAAGCCTCTTGTGAAGGCAGACTTTAAATCGTAAACATCTGCAAGCGTATTTTAATGCCTTTTCAATATTGGCTTTAAAAAGATCCTTGCATCACACCATTTGCTGGTGCTCGCCTCTAGATGGACTCCAATCCATTTTAATTTACTTCAGATTTCAACACTCGTCCCAATCCGCACACGCTTACATATACATGTACAAACTCGTGGGCTTTTGCGTACTTTTGAGACATTTGAATGCAAGCAGCTGTCGAAGAAGAAGAAGAAGAAGAAGAAGAAGAACGGCTCACAAACATACACAAGTCTCTAAATACAGTTTTGAATAAAGTTTCGTTTTGCTTTAAAGAGAGCGAGGGACCGGATTGAAAATTCTAAAAAGCCAGTAATACATACACGAAGTCCAGTATAGCGAGTTCATCGCAATTTAAAAGCAATTTACACTTAATCTTTAAAACTATTCTCGTGAACAATAGACAATCGCATTAAATCCAGTCACCCCCAGAGTCAATAATCACTTGCCATCTGAGAGACTTTCGCCTATTCGATTGGAAACGCCTTCCAAATTCTTTGAAAGTTAATAAGTTAATAAATCTTATGATTTATAATGTCCAAATGTTTTCACTTGGATTGGCGCCCGTTAAAGCCAATCTGAATTGACGATTTGCATCTTCCAGTTAATGCAAAACGAGGTTCCTCATGCAAGAAGTTTGCCGGCGAATTTTTGCCCAATAGTCGCGCTAAATATTTAGTCCCTTATTTGTTTGTTTTGACGCAGCGATATGGAAGTGGTGCTTGAAAATATGGCCAAATTAGCGGCTCTGTTTAGTTTTCCCACGGCTTAGTAGATCATCGACGTTTGCTGTCTCTTTAAAACGCCTCACCTATTTCTATGAGACTTTTTAAGCACCTTGTAGCTGCTACATAAGACATTTTTGGATCTTGAAGTTCGAAACTTCCCCCGTTTCGACCCAGCTTCAAAACGCTCAGGAAATAAGTGCCGGCTCATTGCAAAACACATTTTAAAAGGTCAAATACTCGGCATGTACTCAATCTTTTTTATGACAAAAGGTTGACCTGGTACCAATATAGAGAGCCGGAGTAGCAATACCTTTTAATAATATCCCTAGTGAATGAACCACACATAAGAAATGGCCCAGCTACCAGACTAAAGCATACGGTCGAAACCAAGATCTGTCGCTTGATCCCTGGGATCTCCTTTGCAAATGCATCGAAATGCGGAAATAAATGACTTAAGACAGGGCCCCACATCGTGAACAAACCGTAGCCCTACTACGTGCTTTTTCGAACCTTACCAACAAAGCTGTTCACAACAAAGTACTTCAACTTCCAAAAATTGAGACTATGATAGCATCGATGCAGCAAAGTATGACGAATTTCATGACCTCTATGCAGAGTATAATTTTTTAAAATTCACCTGTTATGGTTCGAAGAGTTAAAGACTGATGTCGCAGATAAATAAAATAAATAAAAGTAACTGAATTGCTAGCTGTTCCCCACAGCCGCAGCGCATAAGTCCATACTGGCTTTAGAACTTCCTTGTAAAGTCGTATTTCGTTCTCAAGGCTTAGTTGTGAGCGTGGTCATAAGAGCCAGTACATTCTTTAATATGTTGCCAAGTGAGCCGTCCAGATGTACTCCCAGATATTTCATCGGGCCGCTAACTGCAAGGAGGGCAAGCTCCTGGTCTTAGTGAATGCAAAATATAATGCAAGAACTAATGCGTAACCAAAACACAATGAACCAAAAGCTTAGAACTGCACTCAAAAAAAACGGCTTCACTAAACGCAGCCCTCTAGAAGCTAATGACTTTCCTCGCCTACAAATGGAACCGTCTGTATTACTCACCAATACAGAGACACACCTTACACTGTGCTTTTTATTGCAGAAATCACCCATAAAATCGTACTAAGCATTATCATCTAACAGATCTTGCTGAAAATTATCTGCCTGAAACATCAATATGCGTTCAACGAATGAGAGGCGATATATCATTGTCCTACTCCCTTAGAAGTATTAAAAATTCATTTTGGACTTCTCCAACTAAGTGAATGAATCCCACTGGGGCATCAAAAGAAAAGAAAATGCTACAGTCGAGCAAGCCCAAGACATTGAAAGATGAAAAAGAGGAAAAATAAAATAAAATCGTGTTGCAGAGGGATAACCATGTAGTTACTAGTTATGACTGATTTGTGATTTCTTGACTACTCTTCATACTAATCCCCATACAGTCCACCTGCATGATTTGAAAACCATAGTAGACTAAATACAACGGAAAGACTACAGAGCACGATTTAATCACACCACAAATGATTATCGGCTATCAGACTCAGCTAATTCATTTAAAGTACAAAGTAATGCGATTTTTGAAAGAAATCCATTCCTATAATGAACCCCAAGCCAATTATAGATAAAGAACTCTTGCTGACCCCGTGTGGAGGAATTTAATGGATGGCCAGCTGGCGTATCAAAGCCTTCTAACTATAACGAGCTATGATTATAGTACACTTAATATACGATTGCCCTTCGCGATCACCTTCCGCTAGTTTTATAAAGCTCATCTGATCCAATGGCTCAAAGCTGCGGGAATATACATGTGACAGTAAATAAAATGAACAAACTGAATAGAAGGGAGAATTCATATTTCAGAGGGTACGTGTTATATGCCAACTTGATTCCAGATGAATGCAACGGCCGAACATAATGGAAAAACCAATAACTCTTCTCTGATCCCCACAAATACAAGTATGTCGAGTTCATGTCAAGTGTATGTTACTGGCTCGACTGTTTCTAATTTCGGCTTCATGCTGACGAGGAGGGACAAATAAACCAGGGACCGCAAATAATGATTTTTTTTAAACGAAAAATCATGCACTTATAGTTACCTCGAGAAAGGGAGGAATTTAAAAATATCCGTTTTGTATGATTATTTATGCATATTCACGATGATGTCCTTTTTCCTTATAGGCAGAAACAATTACAACTTGAAGTTTATTTTTTATTACAAAAATAAAACTTAAAGAATAATCATTATTTGATAAGTTTTCTTTCTTTGCTCCTAAAATAACGATTATTAGTTAAGTTGAAAAGTAAAAAGGCAGGAACAAGTACAACTTAAGGTTTATTTTTGATTAAAAAAATAAAACTTAAAGAATTAATAATTTTTTTTTTTTTTGCTCAAAAGAGTAAATTATTAGTTGAGTTGAAAAGTAAAACTCGAAATTAGCCATTATATTCTGAGCGAATGAATATGATTAAAAAATAATCATTAATTTTTATAATAACACTTATATCGATTAAGTCCCTGAAAGAAGCTATCTATCTACGTCAGCGAAACAGGCTACAGGCTACATCCTGCTACTCGCTCACCACACAAGCCCTTTTAAATACTGACATGACTAAGGAGTGTTTAGCGATAAAAAAAACATTAACTAACTAACTAATGATTAACAATGATTGGCACTGGAGAAAGTAATTAATTTGAGAGTGGAAATAAATTGAAAATGTTTTTGTAAAGCTGAATAGTTAAGCAACAAAGTTAACAATTTGTGGGCTCCACATATGGCGAATGGTCTGTCTGATAGTCCCAAATTTGTATAATCCGCAACATTCGAGCAAGGACACATGCATTTTTATTTACCGCATTTACCGCCCGAGGCGCAAACATGCTGTCAGTCAGCAGCAGCAGATGGACGACGACTCTTTTGCTTGGCATTGGTTTTATTTACGAGTATGCCTGCCACCGACCATCCTGCTACCCTTTCAATTGGCTTAATTGCAGCCTAACTGTTGCATTCCCACAATGTGACCGAATTTGCTTGTGTAGTGTGGAAAAGTTGTGGCAGATGCAATCCTTTTAAGTGCGACCACTAGCCGTTTCGGACTGTGACCAAGGGCGGGGATCGATATCCAGTTGGTTGGATATCGTCCTAGATTTGAGACTTAAAGTAGTCTTACAAGACAATCATATTTACAATCTTTATTAACACGTATTTAAGACAGCTACCAGATGTGACACTTGTCCGCTGGATGCATAAGACTCCCAGTCTTGCACTGAAAGGTCTCTGCAAACTCTGGAAAGTTGCTGAGCACATTGTTCACGCGCTCCCTATGAGAAGCGTGCTGCGTTATGCCGGACGATTGTGCCGCATGGCCGCACCAGGTCTGGGCGAAGGCCAGGAAGAACTCCTTATGCTCACTTGGTTCCACTGTCATCGACGGTCGCTGTGCCCGGAACGTTTCGAAGGCCAGGCGCAGCCCCTCGCTGTCCGCAATGTTCTCGTCGATGGTGAGAGTTGCGTTGCTGTACCGAGGGGTCAAGTAACAGGCAGCACGAACCCCAAACTTAATAATGGAGTGCGCGGTCCATTGGCTGGCCGCGTTACCTGCCTCGTCGTAATTGATGCCGTCGTAGTCGAATCCGTGCAGCAGCTCATGTGCCATCACGTAACCTAAGCTGCCAAAGGCGCGTGCTTCGCCGTTGCACTCACTATACATTGGTGGGCGCAGCACACCTATCGGCAGCTCGATGACATTCCGCTTAAGCTTGTAATAGCCGTTGACATCTAAGGGGCCGTAGGTGTGGCTCTCGCGAGCTCCACATGCTCCTCTTCTAAGACACTGCAGCACATCATTGAATTCGAGCAGTGCCTGAGCGCGGGACAACTGCAGCAGATTCTCATCATAGTCGTCGCCAAGATGTAGTCCGGCAGGTGTTCCTGTGTCCGTTGCGACCTGCGGTAGAAGCAGTCGCATTGCACGCAGCTTATCCAGAGCCAGCTTGTGCGTTGGCGCGTCGTTTTCAAAGATGGGTGTGGCGTTTATCATTCGCTCAAACTGCTCCTTGAGCGCCTGGAAGTCTTGTGGCAGCCGCGTGTGCGCTTTGGCCAGGAAATTCTCACCGGTTGCGACCCCGTGCCGCAGTTGGACGTAGAGCTGGCTGAACTCGCGTGGCATAAAGGTGTTCAGCTGCAGCAAGCAGTGCTCCTGCTGCGCCGCCAATAGTTTGTCGTCGTGCAAATGCAGCTCAAAATGTGCTAGAAACTGTATGAGCAGCCACTTGGCTAGCCGCTGCGGGCTCACAGCTTGACCATCAGAGAGCAACTGCTCCAGCTTGAGCAGGTAAGCCGTATCCGCCACAATGAGCAGGCGTTGCTCATAGTCTGCCGGTAGTGATTCCATTCCAGCCAGCAAAGTTTTAAAGTAGTCCAGCAGATGGAGGCCAGGAAACAGAGCCGCCAGCTGCTGCAGCGTGTGCGGTGCACGCAACACCAGTTGAGAACTATCTGGCTGGATCAGTGACAACAGCTGTCGTTCGAAAGACACCAGATCGGATACTATTAAGTTGGCACGACGCACCCGTACACCCATATCTAGAAGAAGAAGCTTAATGTAGCGCTCATAGAGAAAGACGCTCTCCTCGTTGACTGGGCCCCGACCGCCACGAGAACGCAGGAGGTCGAAGCTAGGGGGCATAAGGTAGAAAACCCGCTGCTCCGATGCCTGCCAGTTGGGCTGGACAAGCAGCTGCCACAATCCCTGAACACCGTAGCGTCGCAGCTCAGCGCTGATGCGTAGCCAATCAAAGGTCGAGGAACTATCGCTGGAAGTGGAGCCATTGAGCAAAGGCCATTCGGCGTATGAGCGCAGCGCTTCCGTATATGGACGCAAGACCTGGCGTCCGGAAAGACAGGAGTTGTAGAAGGAGGCGGCACTGCTGCTGTTAGATTGCCGCACATTCTGGCTCTCGCGCTCCCGATCGAAGTGCTGTATGAGCAGCTGTTTGTTCAGGGCACGCATAAGGGTGCGAGTGTCGTGGGCTCCCAAAACGCGCAACGGGTAGGGAGCTCGCCAATTACCACACGCGTGCTCATAGAAGTCATCGCAGGCAGCACTGCTCTCATCCATCTGGTCCTCGATGTAGCGTTTTTCCGCAGAGCAGTCACCTGGTGTGGGAGAGGACGGGGTGCCCGAAACTGATATCCGGGATAAGTGTCTCCCTGTCGACGACAGCAGTAACAGCAAAGGCATCAGCCCAGCATAGATTCGCGATGTGTACATGGCACGGCGTATTCAACTACTGACTGCCAACTCTGATAAGCTGATGCCGGCCCCTTGCCTTTTGCTAGTATGCCACATGATAAGCTTTGGCATTCATTTTGGTTTCAAGTTTGCTCGAGCAACGAAGGTCGAACGTTTAAATACGTCGCACATTTTAATAGAGCAGCATTGGTGAGTATTCGTATTAAGAGCGATTCGGCAGCTGACTCAGTTGCTGAGCTGTAAGTCTTTGGGTTGATAACGATCAGCAATCGCACACGAAATTTCATATTTCCTAGCCTTACAGAGTCTTGATTACTTCTACATACTATATTGTTTACTAATGAGTTTGCTCGCAATTTCTGAGAAGCAAGTAGTTCTTCTTTCAACAGGTCTAGTCAAAAAAAAGTTAAGCCATTTGTAACCCCCTTGCCAGTTCTTGCCAATTCTTCAAAGTACGTTTTATGTAATGAACTAAACGGACATGAAATTTTCATTATTTAATTTGAAAGAACCCAATAGATCAGAAAATATGCATTTGTTCATTTATTCGTCGACAGACACGGCTGTCGGTAAAGAAAAACAATGCAATACAGAACTAATTAAATAAAATAAAAACCAATCCCACAATAAAAAGCAAAACAATGCAATACAGAACTTATTAAATCAAATAAAAACAAGAGAGAACGCTACAGTCGAGCAAGCCCGACAGTGTAATACCCTGTACCCAGGTAAACTTCCGTCACTGAGTTATATGCGCCCATAGCAGCAGCAAAAACAGGAAGAAGAAGAGCGAACTCGTTGCTGCAGTTTGTGGGGGTTGTACTGTAGAGAATTTGTTTCGCTAATAACTTTTCTCAGAATTTACCGAATTGGATAAACAACAGTAGACAATTATATATAAATTATGTGTGCAAAGTTTGGTTGAGGTAGCATTTGAAATGTGGACGCTATTGACGAAATTCTGTAGCGGGGGAAGGGGGGGAAAATTAAAAAAAAAAATAAACTCGTCCTTACTCGGACCTAGGAGAATCTGGATGCCAACTTTGGTTATTGTAGCTTTTATAGTTTCTGAGATCCTTGCGTTCATCCAGACGGACAGACGGACAGACGGACGGACATGTCTAGATCAATTTCTCTCGTCATGCTGATTCAGAATATATATCCTTTATGGGGTCGGAGATGCTTCCTTCTGCATGTTACATACTTTGCACAAACCTAATATACCCTTTTTACCCTACGGGTACAGGGTATAAAAATCCTACAATAATATACTACGAGCATAAAATAACGAGTCCGACTTGATTGGGGAATTTTACTTGCTGAACGACCAGCCCCGCATAGGACGGAATAGCCAGAGACGTAATTGAATCGAGGCAATCTTTTATTTAAAATAATTATTTATTTGTTATTATTTATTATTATTATTTCCTAGTGCGACAAGAAAAATTCTTATAAATTACTGCACTAGTCTCAAAAACAAACAATTTTCATAGAAAAACATTTAAGACGATTTGCATGCATATCAACAAATAACTCTGTGCTTACAGTTTACTAATATTATGTAATAATTTGTGCTTAAAAAATAAGTAAGCCTCAAAAATAACTACACAATAATGTCTATTAATGCCTCTGACACGTTGGAGGAGGTTTATTTGGCATTTGGCCAGCTATGTCTCGATTCATAGATAGTAGAGGAACGGAAAATAAATAGAGAAGAAGAAATTCAAATTAAAAAATGAAAAAGCAACGAGAAAATGAAATTAAAACAAGTACTTAAAAGCAAATTAAACTTCTTAAATAACAAAAAATGGAAGTATACGCATATATTTCTTGTACCCTGTACCTGAAGGCTAAAAATGTTTATCCACCGTTTTACTTGTACCTTTTAGGCAGTATTCACAGCCATGGGGGGAAGGCTTAGAAAACAGACCATCAGGCTATGTGCCGACTCACGGCAGTGGCGGAAATATATGAGTGGTTTTGGAAAATTCGAGCTTCAATGGCGGAAAATCGGGCTCCAACGTTTGTATCAATAATATGCATTTTCATCCGACTAACTTCAAACTTAGTTTGGCTCCTCTCAGAAAGAAACTGCATATTTCAAATATTTCTTGGGGCTTTTGCCCCAAGCGTTTTCGCTAGGATTGCATTCTTTAACTACTTGTATGATCGTATTTAGGGCAGTGTTTTCAATAAATTGATGTGATTTTATTAAAAGCAAAATTTTGCATTGACAATTTAAAATGCAAACCAAGTGAAGAACATGCTTCACGTAATAATTATGGTTATAATCCTTGTTAGTTCTGGTTAGTCGAGTGGCGAGTGTCTTTTGTCGACACTAATAAATTAGTATGAGTGAGCAAATATTTTTTAAAGCAAACAATTGGCTGGAAATTAACTCCCTCCACATCGTAATAGTGTGAAAATCTTGCGTTAACGTGTTTAATTTATCGTAAATACATTTACGTAATTAGCTTTAGTGGGGTGTTAGCAGGTGGGTGGGCAGGGAGGCTACCAGCAATTACAGTAGCAGCAGCATTAAGTAGAAGAGAGGTTTTAAATTAAATCAACACAAAGTAGACACCTACATAAACGCCTTATATAAAAAGAAAGAAAAACTACGGCAAAAGAAGTGGAGAAGTGCACTCTGTACCTGTTAGTAGTTATGTAAGTCCGAAATGAACGTCGATGTTTACATCGATTTCGTACCCACTCCTGCAACACATAGGATATCAGTGATGTTATGCTGCAATATTAGTATATACAAAAATAAAGCATAAAATAATAAATAAATGACGGTGCAACGGTATAAAATAATTATATGTACAATGAAGAACTACATAAAAATGCTGTCAGAAAAGTAAACACGGAAAGAAGGGCAATAGGAAAGGAATGCTAGAGTCGAGCGGGCTCTCCTGTACACACCCTCAAAAATAAGACAACATTTTCGATTTTAAATGAATTAATTAATTAAATAAAAATTATTCATAAGTGGAAACATATGTGTGAAGTACAGAATTATGTCAACCAACATCATCAACAACAACAACAGCTGCAGATCTAATATTTATAATAATAATAATATATATCTTATATTTATTTAATGAGAGTTTCATTCTAATTGATCTACCATAATGAAACATGCATCAGAAAAAAAACTCAAACTCGTCCTTTCTCGGACTTGGGAGAATCTGGATACCGAGTTTGGTTATTCTAGCTCTTATACTTTCTGAGATCCTTGAGTTCATACAAACGGATAGACAGACGGACGGACAGACGGATGGCTATATCGACTCGTCTTCCATCCTGATCAAGGATATGTATACTTTGTGGGGTCTGCCACGACTCCTTCTGTGTGTTACATACATTCGCACAAAACTATGGGTGCAGGCTTTAAATACTAAATCGTGTGGAGCTTCATTCCTCTACTCTGGACAATAAACGAGTCCCATTGAATCAGGCAGGGTTACATGGCAAAAGCATTAGAAAGTCGCATTAGACGCATTTAAAACTAGAACAATGTTTTGATCTGCCAGTGGCAATGCAAGCCATTACATTATGTTTATCCGGAACGAAACTAACAACAGACACAATTACTCGGCATGTATGTAAATGGCGAAAAGTTCCTCTTCCAGCGTTCAGATGTTCAACTCGAAATTTGTGGCTTTTTAAAGTCAGAAACTAAGTTTTAAGCATAATGCGTTGAAAATGATATCTGGCCGGATAATTAACATGAAAAATGTAAGCGCTTAATTATAATCAAGCGGCGAAATGCCAGGCAACGGGAACGGCAACGGCAACACACACACGACAACGAAAGCAAAAACTTGACGGGAAAATGCCACGCAGGCAACGTCAAGACAACAAGAGCACACTGAAGGGTCTGCTGAGATTACAAGAAACAGAGGGGAAATTCAATCAAAATTCAACATGAAACTAATGGAAAATGAGAAGAGCACAACGACCGGAGCCAGGCGTGAGGTGTTCGGCGGGCATAAATTTAGCGAGACGACAAAACTTAAAGCTACCACTTGCCACACTGATCCATCTCCATCAGGCGACTCGAACGACTTCGAGTGATGACGATAGGGGAATCGATGGGGATGGGGATGGGGATGTGGATGGTGCTTGCTGCTTCCCCATAATGTGTACAATTATTTGAATTATTATGAAAACAAATTAGTTTCGCGTTTCGAGCTCTCGGCTTTTGATAAGTATTATTTACCCATAATTATCGCATAATAGTGCCCAATTTTTGGACAAGAAACTTTAGGCACTTTCAATTCATCCATCATTCCACTGAGGCCAATTGAGGACGTACTTGTACTTGTATATAGTTATGCATGCATGTGCAATTCTTACTACATATTATAACTACCTAAGTACTTCATTACAACAATTTCAATTTCGAGCAAGCCCGACAGTGATATACCCTGTACCCAGGTAAACTTCCTTCTAGCAGAAGCAAAAGGAAGAGAAGAACGAACTCGATGCTGCAGCTTGTGGGCGTAGTACCAAAGTAAAATTGTTTCACTAATAACTTTTCTTAGAACCAACCGATTTAGATGAAATTTGAAACAAAAGTAGATAATTACATAGAAATTATGTGTGGTTAGGGTAGCTTGAAATATGGACGGTATTGACGAAATTCTGTAGCGTGGGAATATATGTACTTTATGGGGTCGGAGATGCTTCCTTTGCACAAACCTATCATACCCTTTTTACCCTACGGGTACAGGGTATAAAAGAACCACCGATTGACATTCATGTTTTCGCACCGGCTTGCATCCCTATCCGACACTCCTCGACATAACTGGCATCGAAAGCAGACCATCATTAATAGTTTTTAATCGGGTGAAAAATATTTTTGAATTGTTCGCGATCAATCAATGCCATCCATTGACGAACCAACACGCATGATAGAAACATTTCTACTCTTCGCGAACATAACGTATAACGTAAAATCTGAAGCGAACCCCTCCTCTTGACCCGAACCGATTCGCATATGGGAATGTCCTGGTTGAGTTTAATGAACTAATCGATGTCATTCCATTATGATAGACAATAACGGCCTTCTATGCATCTTAGGCCCACAAACGCAACTTTAAATGTTTCCGCTGCCATTGTACTCTGAGCTCATTGTCATTATTGCGGCTTCAAATGCTTAAATGCCCCTGTCTGTTTACGCCACCCCCACACACACCTGCCAGCCTCCACACAACCCCTGCGTTGAGGCGCCATGTATGTGTGTAATTGTATGTGTGTTCGTAGTATTAATTAAAACTCAATTTAACTGACATGCCGCATTACACACGGTGTGGCCGAGAAGGGCCAAGATGGCGAACAGGACGTGGGACGAATGTGGGGCTCTACAGTTGAGCGCCTTTCAGGTGGCAGCTTCGTATTTGATAATGCTGCAATAAGGTGTTAATTAATTGAGACAGCATAGGGCCGCTATTGCAATGGAAACTTGCAGCTCCATTGCTATAAATAAAGCCTTGTAGGCGAATTACGACATGCGTAACTATTTGTATACCTATGTGTGTCAGTCGTTTTTCATGATAGGCATTGCATCCCTGACATTTCCTTTCTGCCTTTTATCATCTTGGAGAAATTAACGGTTTCATGTACATGATTATGCAATTAATACTGCCCATAAGTACTTGATATTATTACAGTTTTCGTTTAGACACCGTTGATTGGAATGTATAAAAAGACACCCTCAGACAATAAGTATGAGTCCTAAACTTCGCTTTCCGCAGCTGGTTCTTGCAATGAGTATTGTGTCATTATTAAAGGATCCTTCTAAATTCTCGACTAGAATGGTAGCCCCTTCGATGTAGGCTCTTACCTATGCCTTGTTGCAAACTTTGCACCGCTTTTACCACTTACCAATCTTCTGGTAGTGTTTTGGTCCCAAAATTGGGTTAAAATTCAGTTTGAAAGTCTCAGTTCTTTGTATGGCGATAAAGCACCATCAAAAACCAGATGCTAGAATCGCGCACAGGCGATACATAAAAAACTATTCAACCGACTCAAAGATTACGATTTTTTGGCGGGTGGTGTTGCTTCCAAAAATTACCAAAAGCTTGGCCCTTCCTGAATATAAGTATAAGAAGTAGGACAATTTTATTGACTCTCTTACTTTCCGGGGTCCTTGTGTATATACAAACGACGTATCGACGAATAAAAAGATGGACTTAAATTAAATATGTACTTGTATATAATTTTGTTTGCTTTTTTTTGGAATGGCAAAATATTAGAGATATTTTATCTAACCTTCTATTTGATTTAGGGACACAGTTTCGTTTAAATCTGGTATGATAGCACTCTCAGAAACATGGTTAAATACTTGTAGTATCATGTCCAACTATTTTGTTTTATTATTGTTTTTTATTACTTATAAAAATGCGTGACTTGCGCTCCCCAAAATAGATTTTGTTGTTGGTTAAGCAAAGCCCCGCGTCCACAACTCAATCGCTCCACTAAGCAGCTTGTACAAGTGGGACAAGATCTTATAAAATCGTTCATTTTTTGCAATATAGCAAACCCCAAAAAAATAATTATGTTCTTCATTATGTTGATTTAGACAAGACTGTATGAACGCAAGAATATCTGGAAGTAAAAGACCTAGTCTCATCAAGCTAACTGCTAGTTCTAAAAAGCAATACAAAACCTATCCAACATTTCACCTGTTGTGGTTCTTAAACCGAAGCTTCCTGGATTTCAAAGCGTATTTCTTTTCATAGAGGGGAAGGGAGCACTGCAACGAACAATCCGCACAAGACCTCCCAGCGAGTAAATATTCGATTGCATTTTGTCTTGTGCTGTTTAATGGCGAATCAAAGGAAAAAAATGCAAAATACTACTAGTGCCAAGTTGAATCCTTCGTGTTCTGTGTCACTGCCATTGCAGGAAACATAAGCAGAGCCAAATGCTTTGGCGGAGAGGGAGGGAGAAAAGGAAGAAAAGCACCAACAGTCGCCTTTGAGGGTTTGCATATGATGTTTCTCATTTAATTTGTACACCCTATATCCGATGGCTGAAAGGTTAGAAAGGTTAGGAGCTTCAGCGCCCAAAATATGTTACATTCGTCTTTACTTCCGTTTATCTGTTTGTATGAGAACGGATATCTTCTGAGCCATAGGAACATAAGGACAGCAAACGTGGCCTGTAGATTGTATTAATCCATACGCAATTATAAACCATACATGGTCTCATTAATTGTAAAACCGATAAATGAACGATATATCCGTACATACATATACTATAGTACATTCATCGGCAAATACGAATTCTCCGCTTTTAGGCATTTCCCACATAAATATTACCAAGAACAACTAGAAGAAAACACATTTTTGAGGACAAACATTTTTTAACTGATTATGTAAATCATTAACTAATTTTGAATTTTAAGCAGAACTTCGCGATTTTAACATTTTATTATACCCTGTACCCAAAGGGTACAAGGGTATATTAGTTTTGTGCGAGTGCACATGGAACACACAGAAGGAGGCTTGGTAGACCCCACAAAGTATATATATTCTTGATCAGCATGACAAGCCGAGTCGATATAGCCATGTCCGTCTATCCGTCTGTCTGTCCGTCTGTCCGTCTGTCTGTCTGTATGAACGCAAGGATCTCCGAAAGTATAAGAGCTAGAATAACCAAACTTGGTATACAGATTCTCCTAAGACCGAGAAAGGACGAGTTTGTTCATTTTTTCTGATCCACCCCCCCACTCCCCCCTATTAACGATTTTCTATAACTCCCGTAATTCTTGAAATTTTGAACAAAAATTTGGTATTCACATTAGGTTAGTGATTATATATCCGTATACCAAGTTTCATTGTGATAGAATGATTGGAAAAAAAAAGTTATAGCCATATAACCAGGCCCAATGCACACATACATACATATGTACAAGTACACAAACACGCATAAGGCACGATTCTGATGTAAATGTAAATGTATGTATGCATGCATGGAATATTTTATATTTAATTTAGTTAATTAATTAAATTAATTTAGTTAATTAATTAAATTAAATTAATTAATTAATTTAATTACTTTTTTGTGGGGTGGTACAGGGTATTTAAGAGTTGAGCCTGCTCGACTTTAGCATTCCTTTCTTGTTTTTAATTAGAATTTGTCCATAGGTAGGTACCCAACATATTGAATACGATAGCTTAAAGCAAATATACGTATAGCGTCAGAATGCCAAACTTTTGCATTTTGATCTTCATCCTCATCTATATTTGTGTCTTCACTTACTTCAGTTCGTCCAATCGATTCTATATACTATATATTCTTGATCAGCATGACAAGACGAGTCGATTTACCCCTGCGTGTATGTGTGTTTGTCCGTACGAACACCTAGATCTCAGAGCCCTAAGAGCTAGAGACACCACATCTCGAACACAGATGCCTTATACATATAAGGTACAGTAGTACGCAGTATATTTGTCCGGTTTCACAAAATATTGCACCACTATGTTGTCTTCCATTATCAGCAATTGGTATTCGGCATTATCTGTTTAATAGATATAGCTACAAATTGAAATAAAACACAATTGGTAGACTGGCATATTAAAAATCATCCATCCCCCTATTGTGCATTTTCCAAATATTAAGTCAACGGGTAATGAATGATAAAATAACTATTGACACAGGCATATATAAATAGATTATGGATGTCCGGACGAGCGCATGGTCCGAGCTATCAAGTGTCCGATCTATCGAAATTGCACTGATGTATATATGAACATACTTGTATAGCATACTCGTACATATGTTATTTATATCATCTCTCTCTTCCTTCTCTGTCTCGCTCCATAGCACCATTCGAGAGGGCATCATACGCTGCATTCTGGCCACAGACATGGCGCGCCACAATGAGATACTCACCCAATTCAAAGAGGTGACCCCCATCTTCGATTACAGCAACCGTGCGCACATCAATCTGGTAGGCTTTGCCCATAGATGGTTTTTGGTCAAATGTTTGTAACTGTTTTTGCAGCTCTGCATGATACTGATAAAGGTAGCGGACATCTCGAACGAGGCTCGTCCCATGGACGTGGCAGAGCCCTGGTTAGATCGCCTCTTGCAAGAGTTCTTTGCACAAAGCGCTGCAGAGAAATCAGAGGGACTACCAGTTACACCATTCATGGATCCGGACAAGGTAAGCAAACCAGGTTCGCAGGTACGCTTCATCGGACTGGTGTTGTTGCCCCTGTTTGAGGCTCTTGGTGAACTAGTTCCGGAGTTGACCGAACTGATCATCATCCCCGTACGCATTGCACTCGAGTATTACAGGTGAGTTGGTGCTGGTCGCTTGATAGCTCCGCACCTAAACAGTTCCTCCTACTTTCAGGCGCCTGAACGATGCACAGACCAAGACACGCAAGTCAGTAGCGGATAGCAATACGTCGGCCACGTCGGACAGTAACAGTGGCACTATAGACTCTAATGCGGCGACGATGAACACCGGCACTGGCGGTGAAAAGATTGTTTCAGACAGGACAAGCGGCACCGGTGCAGGTGGAACTGACGGCAGCGTTGCTGGTGGCGGTGCCTCGACGGGTAGTCTGTCACCTCAGATGCCGCGATCCGGCTCAGGCATCAGTGTAAAGTCACGCCGCAGTATACCCTCGCAGAAATCGGCCTCGCGAACCTCGGTTGACGAGCCTGGTGGCATGCCGGCGGAGCTCCATGACCTTCCAGAGGGAAGCGAGAGCGGCGACTCCGAAACAGCCACCGAAGTCGATGTAAGTTGATATTCGTTTTTTGTTCTGATTTTAAGTTTGGAAACTTGTCGCAATAAGTATACCTCAGCATGCAAATGATCTTACTATGCGAGTTTGTTCGTGTGTATGAAGAGTCCCCGAACTTGGTTTCAGGTTTGGTCTCCGAAGCTTAGGGACAAGTCATCAAAGCCCGAGAAGTTGTGTAGCTTCTTGCTGGTGTCACATGTATCTAGTATGTTTCAAATTAAAAAGTCCAGACAAAATTATTCAAACAACATATACAAAGATAATAGATTATTCTTTTTAACGTAATCACTTTGAACGAAAACATTTTCTTAGAGAGTGTTCAATGAAACGTTTTAAACCTATACCCATACATACATATATATATTTTGGAAAAATGATGAACCATGTGGGTAGGTCATAGTCCGACTTTTCGTTGATCTGTTTGCATAAGCGCCGTTTTTAAGGAACCGACTCGACCAAAATTCCTATTTTGTTACAATTAAATACATTTTGAAACTTTATTTTTGTTGATAAACTTATAAATTTGACCATTAATCCTCTTCGGTTTTCATCCACAGGTCGCTGAGAAAACTTCAAAGTTTAAGGTCGATACTGAAGGCAGTAGCAACCGTTCCAAATCCTCACACTCCACCTCGCGTAAATCATCGCGTGAGAAGCGCCCTTCGATGATAGGCGAGATGTGCAGCAGCGGCGGAGGACAACGCATCCGCAACTCCTACGGCAACATCCACGGATACCACTCTAACCGCTGCCACTTCGGCTCAAACCGTGCCGTCAGTCTAGATCAGTACAGTACCAATAACCGACGGCTATCGGATGGCCTTCCTCAGGTCATATCCGACAGCAACGTCTTCTACGGCCGCCACAACCGCAGCAGTCTAGAGAAGGCGGACACTACCACGGCTGGCGCCCGTCATCAGGAGGATCTAAATATGAATGCAATGCAGCAGCAGCAGAGCCCGGTACAACATATGCACCAACCTCTAATGCAGGTGCTCTCCCATTTGGAAGACAGAAGGGAGGGTGTGGGAGGCGACAGCAACATCTGCGTAACTTTGCCGCCCGCGGTTAGCGTGCCAGCGCCGATTCCTGAAGGCGATCGCAGCGCTTCCAACGGCAATATCTCTCCTACACAGGCGCTAGAAGCTCTGCAAGAAGCATCCTTGACAGCGGCCAGTAGCAGCCGAGCCGGTAGCGCCTCCTCTACTTCATGGAAGTCACGTCTGCGTCAGTTCTCAGACTACTTCAGCTTTAGTTTCGATAAGGGCAACAAACGATTTGGCAGCACCCGGAGCAGTCCTTGCACCGTGCGCAGCAGCAGAAACAACAATGCGAACGGAGGAGGCGCCAGCGGAGCCGGCAATATGACCGACCGACCGTCCGACGGACTAGAAACTAAGCTGCAGGCTACCTGCTGCACCATTTCCAACAGCATGCAATCGGCAGGAGGGGCCTCCAGCACAATAGCTGGGGCTGGCAAGCCAAACGAGTTGCTCGCCCAAGTCGGTCGTCATCGTGCCTACAGCTTAGATGTACCCTGCAGCCGGAGCGTGGCTCGCTACTCGTCAAGCAGTGGCGGTGGCGGCGACAGCAGCCACAAATCGTCGCGACACGAAGGCAGCGGTGGGGACGAGGATAACAGCAACAACACACTCCACAGCAGCAGCGGTGCTGGCAGCGATCTGCCCGGCATACGCATTGGCAGCGCCGAGACCAGCGAGGCTATTGTGTTGCCTCCCGTGAAGCCCAGTCTGAGCATCGAACTAGGACTGGCCAGTGCGTCGGCATCATCTTCGGAGGCGGCGCCAAAAATTTGACAACAGGGGAGCTCCGACACCACCACCAACAACTCGCTGTCGAACCATGGCGCTTTCGTTTCGCTGCTGCAGCACGAGCAGCGGGACGTCCAGGAGGTCATCGGAGGTGGTGAAGGCGAGGACGGTGATGCAGACGGAGATGGAAACGGCGATGACGAACAGCAGCGGCTAAACCGTCATCTCCACCATGGCTCCAGCTGCGAGGTATCGTCCATGTCAATGACGGTTTGGTCGGCCATTGGTCAGCGATTAAATGCGCTTATCTGTCATTGTTGTGAGCGGAAACTGCCGGAACCGGAGCCGGAAAACGTGTAAGCTGCAAAGGTGCAGATTGAATGCCTCAGTCTCTCTAATCTCTATCCCTACTTATTTCTCGGAGTCAGTGTCCGTGCCCCACCGCCATCGCTTCCTTTCTAATTTATTCATATGTAGTATGTGTTGTAATTGGCAGCAATTAAGTTTTATATGTATTACAAATTATTTAAAGGATATTTACTTGTAACCCGTTTTATGTTTATTACATCGTACATATATTGAGAAACAGAAACTTTTACATAACCATACACTCAAACTAGTTTTTTTTATTATATTTAAATTAAATCTAACATAACATGATTTAGAAATACTTACAATATATGGAATACACTTATACGTACAAACACGTATACATAAACATATGTGCGCTAATATACTATAACCACATCATTTTTACATAAATACATACATGCATCATCTTTCTTTTATTTACTACTAAGCATTCGCATAGTTTTTATTTATACGCATCTGCGGTTTGCTACATAAAATGCATCCATATGCTTAAATATACAACCGTGATTTAAAGAATATTCTTTTGATTTATTTTAATTTATGAAAACGTATTTTTGTATGCCATCTTTGCGTGGGGACTATTCCGGTTGATCCAATGTTTGTAACGCCCTAAATGACCCCATGTCGCAGGTAAATAAATGTTCCACACGACAATACAAATGGATATAGCTATGTTCGCGGGTCAAGGCTATGTCACAAAAAGACCAACTGACCGACTTGACTATGTTTTTATAACTCAAGCAAAAATTTTTCAAGTAATTTTGTTTTTCAATAATGTTATATTATTTGTGTTACATCTCTTCTTTGTGACACTCTCAAGAAGTTCTCAAATCCTATAGCAAATGCTTATGGACTTTTCCGGGTTTTAGGAGCACGCTATTTAAACTGCCTTTAGATCAGGTACTGGCCTTGTAGGTCATTTCTCTGGAGTCTCAAATGCGTCGCTTGCAAAGGAAGTGATTGGATTGAATATGTGAGGATAAAAATGTAGTTTATTGTAATTTTGAGGCCCTGAATAAAAATAAAATAAAAAAAATACAAAAAAAAAAAAAATTTGATTCGAGGGATGTTTGGATGTTTGGTGTAATACCCAGCTTTATCATGAAGTTGCTACACAACATCCAAGCTTTGATTTCGCTGCGGGATCGACCGATATTGCTCCTTTTCCATTTTTCCTTAAACTCTCTAAAAACAAAAGAGAGTACCTGATAAAAATGAGATATTTCACCAGGTGGAAAGCTAACTACATTTTTTTTATTTAGCGCTGATGTCCAACGTTGCAGCTATTTTGATTTAACGAACCGTTACACATAGTCAGAAGTATATACTGGTTAGCCGAACCATAAGTACACTCAAAGGGTAATTTTGAATATTAGTGCATTTGATCAGTTTGTATTTACATTTTGTTTGTTCTCACTCAGCTGACAGTGTCGTATGAATCCCGATTGAGGCCATAAGCTAGCTTAGATCTAGGGAATTTATTATTTTGTATTCCTGAAGGGTGGTCCGCCGCCAAGTTGTCGTCTTAGGTCTGCCGACCCGTCTGCTTCCTTGGGCGTTCTCCTCCAGTCTATCACCATCCTTACATTATCATCGAAGTGGAGCCGTTTTGGATTCATTTGTCTTGTATTAGTTTTAATAATCATGTAGTTTTCAGTCGACCTGACGATTGGCCAGATGCGACTAATCCCAGTGGTGGGGCCGGGGAGAGGCGACTTGGGAGAGTTATACTATTGTGTTGTCCAGATAGCGTGGATGGATGTGTTTTTGCTGGTTAAATGACCACGACGTTCAAGGCATGTATTTATGAATAGCATGTATTTAGGAGAGTTTTTCGAAAGCAGAACTAAAAAAATAACAATTAAAATTCGGGTCATGCTCTCGCCATGAGTGGGGCTCAAGAACCCACGACCTCTTGTCTGGTGTGCGCATGTGCTATCCACTACGCCACCGAGGAGCATATTGCCTTTTTAAAAATCCACGTTTCTTGCAAAGACAACAACGAAATACTTTTTTTCCGACTTCTGCAACTTTTAAGATTACAAGTCATATCTAGACTTCTAGACAAAAGTTCCTAAATCAAATCATGTGCAACCATTTGTATTGGGCTGAGGGCAAGTGTCACACACTGATTTACTGTCCACCGAGGCCTTTCAATTGAGGTAGGAATTAACGGAGGAGGAAACGTCCGGAAAGGCAGATGTGAAACTGTATGCCGATTGGGAATTCATTTCATTTTTAGTGCCAAATAAAATACTGATACTCGAAGTCAGCTGTGATCCATGAAATGGATACATCTGCTTTTAATATCAGTATTACGATTAACAAATGACTTATATTTAACATAATTATTTATTTTTTAGTTCATTAAAGATACTCTTGTACAAAATGCGATATGATGGTAGAATATAAGAAAAAATATACTGAGTTGACTTTCATGATTTACATACTCGTACATAAAGGATAGGAGAATCATAATACAAATTTAGATATTAATTAAATTATTATGTGCGTTAATCTAGGCGGCCAAGCCAGCATCTATTTTGATACGGCTTCGACTAATTAATTTAAAAGAAAAAAGGAACGGAAAATTGGCATCCCAAGAAGCAGTCCCTAAGATGCATCCGTGTCAGCCATATGCCTCCTTAAAATTCTTTCCATTATTTATTGAATAAAACTCAACAATTAACGAAGGCTTAAAAACAAAGAATTGCAAAAGACTACCAATCCATTTAAATTTAAAATCGACCTTTTAATACAACCAAAGCAAATGCAACGTTGTTTAATGAAATGATTTTGTACCCAAAACAAAACATTGTCAATTTTAAACATTACTTTTTGAATAATGGTGAAAACCCACGATGGGAATGAGAAAATACTCTGAAAGAGGCATAAAAACGTCAATTGCTGTTTACATTTGTTTTATTTTGCTTTTTTCTAGCATTTGTGGTGTTCTGTGATTTAAATTTAATAAAATAATTTAAACGAAAATAGACTAGAAAAATTACGTTGAAAAGGGGAATCAAAACATCCTTTCGTTTCAATAACAATCATATTGCCCTTATTCCAAATACGGTCATTCATAGTCACCATCCGGGACCCATAATGCCATAATTTAAGTCATATTCTCTCAATTTCAAATGTGAGTCCAATATTTTTTTGAACTAAATAGTTTTCAATACAAAGACTTTACAGGTCACCTTGTTTGTGTGCCAGATATTCGATATTATGGAATGATCTAGTCGGTTATGAGATCGATAGTATATTCATGCTCATTGGCTATTGTCATATCCTTGATAAATGGTACAGCCTGGCACACCCAAACATAACATATTTTTAGTTTCCTGTAAGAATTCGAATTTTTTCCAACTCATATTATTATTGACATTGATTCGAGATGCAAATTTTTCAATTAAATAAGTATATATTTGTCAGGACTGACGCTTTTGATTTCTTGGGGCTGTAGCTGTTTGTTAGTTCTTTCAAAGTTTGTGCACAACAATCTGGTCGGTTGGACTTCAAACCGTAACCTGCATTAAAAAATTCGAAAAGCAAAGAACTAATTTCTTCATTTCCCATATGCATAAAAATAAACAACGGTCACACGTACAATTGAAACAAGACTAGACAAAATTTAAAAACACGCATGTGTGTACAGTCGACCAAGAAAAAACGTAATAAGTAGCTCAGAAAGTATTCTACATATATTATATTAATACTGCTCTTTTTTCGCATATTCCATCTAAAGCATACCCATCAAAAATATTGCTCGCGAGTGTGAATAGTCCTGAAAAATCTTCATTCACAATTTCACGAAAATTCACGACATAAGTACAACAAACTCACGAAAACAAAGCATTTTACGAAAACAACAAATCTCTGTTCGAAAATGATTATGCCACAAAAATCACCATAATCACAGGAATGTCTGTCTTTTGATTAGAATCAACCAAATTTCGTTATGTGAATGGAAAAACCTTAATATAGAGAATACATCGCAATTGAAACAAAATCTTGGTGACGTTGAGACACAGTTGCCCGTTTTTGTAAAAAGGGAATTGTTTATGCACATTCAAAACTAAGATTTTGGGAAACTAAAAATGTGTTGTACTCTTACAAATATTATTATTATTATTTGCATTTAAATGTAGATGCACACACTCCGCCAGAAAATACGTATTGATATTTATCAATTGTAAAAGTTATGGGAGTTTTGGATCAATTTATAAATAGAAATAGATAAATATAAAAAGGAAACGATGTAATATCGCTAGATGTAATTCTTAAAAACAATCCAGAAGTCCACACCTTAAACAAAGGTGAAAATATATATATATGTAATTTCTTAAATTGTATTAAAAAGAAAGAAACACAATTCATGAATGTGCGAGATCGTGACGGCGATTTTTTACACAAACGCAGTCTGGGCTCACAAAATACAGCCGATGACATAAGTGTGTATTTTAATTATTGGGAATGCAAATTGAAATAGCGCACTAGGGACTGCTCCAATCTCGAAAGAAGTCACTCAAAGAGACCACCGAACCCTGGCATGATTTTGCTTACGCATTTTCGCAGATATCGAGAACTGCAAGAAATTTCCAGATTGCTGTTTTGGTTACCACTAAGAATTCTCCGCTCACAATAGTATTCAAAAACATCTTATACATATAAAGATATAAGTAGTACACACATACAGAAAAGAAGTTATGCATCAATGTTTTTTTTTTACATTCACTGACAAATAAATACATCTACTTATGTGCATATTTATGTATATACTACATACGAGTATGCATTAGCTTCCGGTACCTAGCTAAGGGTAGAATCTTTTCTGGAAATTAGCTCAATGTGGAATGGGGAAATATATACAACATACTTGAATATCTTATTTTACTCTTGTCGGTAGTTGGAGGAAAGACGACTCTTTTTTTTTAAGTTTAAAAGTTTCGTTAAAATTCTTTTCAACAACTCATTCACTGTTTTACAATATTTTGTTTCATTCACTCGCCTTCGTAAGAATACATAGTTTTCGGAACTGAGACCTGCACTTCCGGTGACAACGTGACTAAACAACAGGTAACAAATAAATATAAAGCACAAAAAAGTTGAATTTAAAAAGGTAAAGCATAATATACGTATGATCAAGAATCACAACCGCTACAAATAGGAATGAGAAAAACTACTAATAGTAAATAAAATTTATCAATGTTACTCAATTAAATTCAATTCAACT